TCATTTGCACTATTGCGGAGCAAATCCAGGAGCTTTTCCCAGACTGCATTTCGATATAGGCAATTCGTTCTCATTTCTACTATTGTTTTTGGACTGGATTTCTCTCTTATTTTCAGGTGTAGGGCATGTTTTGTTTGAACTGTATGGAAATAATGTTGTGAAATATATAAAGTTTATTTTGTTCTGCTTGGGATGGAACCAGGATTTTCAGACATGCGCAGTAGTGCCAAAACAATGCATGCATCTGCAAACGTTCAAAAACTATATATTAATGATATAAAAATGTATGTATGTATGTGAAACGTGTTTCTCTGATGTTTTAATATTGTCATTGCACAATTGCACGACTGTGAAAATATCAATTCCTGTAGTGCTGTTGTTCTGTTATCTTCCAGTAGTGTGATTGTAATGGAATTGGCCCTCATCCGAGTGTTGAAAATGTAAAAAGAAAGGTGGATCCTGGTTCCATATGTGGTGGAGGTGTCCGAAATTGAAGGTTTATTGGAAAAAAATTCATATTACAATTGCAAAGATCTTGAAAGTTGGTTATGAACTGAGGCCAGAGATGTACCTATTGAATATCCTCAAGAAAATCCCATCACAAATAGAGAGAAACTATTGGCGAGTCCTACTTTACATGATAACGGCCACAAGAATTCTTGTGGTGCAGAGATGGAAACAAAAGGAGCTACCAACAACTGATGAATGGCTAATGAAGTTAGCAGAAATGAAGGAAATGGACATTTTAACAGCTTGGTTGAATCAGAGAGATGCAGAGATGATGGAGATTGGTTCCCTATATTCAAATTGTGCAATAGCAGGATACAAGTATCAAATAGGATACAAGTATCAAAAAATGAGAAATTGTGAAGTATAAGGAATATTTAGTCAGGAGGGAAAAATTTGTGAAAAGGAATGCTAAACCCTGAGAGTATGGTGTGGATAAGTGAAAAGTAGTAAGTAACGATAAGACGGAGGAAAAGTGTGTGTGATCAAATGCAGGAGATACTTAGGAGGTATTAATTTATATAATTATAAAATTGCGATTTGATTGTGATTTGGAGACTAACGCTGTAGAATCAAATTTTATTTTAAAAAAAAGGGAAAAAATGGAATTGGCCCTCGTGATAATGGGCCTTTACAGACTGCCAAAAATAATGCAACCTGAGTCCACTTTAACTGCCCTGGCTCAGTGCTAGAGAATCATGGTAACTGTATTTTTTTCTGAGACATTGAGCCTTCTCTGTCAGAGAGCTCTGGTGCCACAATAAACTACAATTCCCATGATTCCCTAGCACTGAGCCAGGGCTGTTAAAGTGGACTCAGGTTGCATTATTTCGGGCAGTCTGTAAAGGCCCAATGTCCGTAGTCTCTGGAGCAGCAGAAAACAAGCTTGCTCCATCCTTAGTTTGATCGAGGGAAGTAATAGTGCCACTCTATTCTGCTTTGGTCAGACCTCACTTGGAATATTGTGTCCAGTTCTGGGCACCACAATTCAACAGGGATATTGGCAAACTAAAGCATGTCTAGAGAACGGCGACCAAAATGGTGAAAGGTCTGGAAAACATGCCCTATGAGAAGCAGCTTAGGGAGCTGGGTATGTTTAGCCTGGAGAAGAGAAGGTGAAGAGGTGATGTGATAGTTATGTTTTAATGTTTGAAGGGATGTCATATTGAGGATGGAGCAAGCTTGTTTTCCGCTGATCCAGAGAACAGGACCCAGGGCAATGGATTCAAACTACTGGAAAAGTGATTCCACCTCAACATTACAATGAACTTTCTGAGAATAAGAGCTGTTTCACAGTGAAATAGGCTGCCTCGGAGAGTGGTGGAGTCTCCTTCTTTGGACATTTTTAAACGGAGGCTGGATATCCATCTGTTGGGAGTGCTTTGATTGTTTTTTCCTGCATGGCAGAAGGTTGGACTGGATGGCCCTTGATTCTATTATTATTATTATTTTACCTTTTTTGAAAGGAAAGATCCCTTCTGTTTTCATCAGGAGGGACTGGTACAGTTCCCCAAATGATCTGGAGTGTATGGGCAAAGGTCCTCTGACCATCTGAGGATGCCCATATCTGTTTTGAATGGTCTCCTCGTCTCTCTCCTCTGCACCCTTTGTGAGTAACTAGTGGGGATGTAGATCTTCATACATTTTATTATCTCTGTTCTCTCCCTGCTTTTCTCATACAAGCATCTCTTCACTTACAGTAATGATTATGTTTGTTAACAGGGAGAGGGAATTAATGCAGAGTTGATGACAGATAGCACTAGACTTGCAAATGAGGTGGCCGGAGATGCCTCATTAAAAATGAAGATGGAGTGCATGTCGCCCCCCATCCTACCCCCCAAAAGAGGGCACTGATTTGCATAACATTTGGATATGCTTGTTTGTATCCATCGCTGCAAATTTAGAAATAATGACTGTAATTTAAATAATAATGCTGTGCAACTCTCCAGAGAAAGGAAGAATGGTGCTCCATGCGTCTGTTCAGGGGTTGGCAAAATGTCACCCGCTAGATGTTCGTAAACTGTAGCACCCATCAGCCTGGAAAATAGTGGTTTCAGGGTGAAAGCTATGGCTCAGCTTGCCCATCTCTCACCAGCCCATGCTGGGCTTCTCCTTCCTCCGCCATCCCATTTCAAATGATATTTCAGAAGCTTGGCATTCCTAGAGGCACTTGGCATCAGCAGACTTCTTCCTTCCTTTCCCTTTCCTTTCCCTTTCTATTTATTTATTTAATATGCCGCTTTTCTCCCAGAGGGGGACCCAAGATGGCTCACAGCAGAAAACCAATTAAAATCCATAGTGCAACCTTAAAAGCGATTACAATAGTCACAATTAAAACAATAGCACAAAAGCAACGTCATTGAAAAGAACACAAAAGCACACTGTTGTTGCTGTGTGCCTTGAAGTCATTTCTGACTTACGGCACACCCTATCATGGGGTTTTCTTGGCATGGCGGGTTCAGAGGAGCCTTGCCATTGCCTTCCTCTGAGGCTGAGAGCATGTGACTTGCCCAAGCGTTTCATGGCTGAGTGGGGAATTGAAGTAAACACTCCTCCAATTTTTTTTAAAAAAGCCTCCTTGAAGTGGTTATATATTAAAAGCCCGCTTAAACAGAAAAGTCTTTGCCTGCTGGTGGAAGGAGAACAGGGAAGGGACCATCTCGTGTCTTCACAAGGCAAGCTTGGGAGATGGTGTCAAGACCAAGAGAAGCCTTTCCCTGGAGATCTTAGCTCCAAAACACACTGCAGAAATAATTCAGTTTGAGACCGCTTTAACTGCCCTGGGCCAGTGCTAGGGAATCCTGGGAGCTGTAGCGTGTTGTGGCACCAGATCTCTCTGACAGAGAAGGCTAAAGGTCTCACAAAGCCACAGTTCCCAAAATTCTCTAGCATTGAGCCAGGTCAGTTACAGCAGTCTCAAAGTGGATTATTTCTGCAGTGTGTTTTGGACCTTAGAATTCTTGCTGGTTTGTAAGGGAAGATAGCTTTCAAATAGTCTGGGCCTAAGCCATATAAAAGGCTTTATAGGTCATGACCAGCACTTTGAATTGTGGCCAGAAATGAACTGGTAGATAGTGAAGCTGTTTACTGTCCATATATGCTTACGTGGGCAGAGACTGCTCCTTCTTCTTCCTGGTGGCGCAGTGGTTAAATGCCTCTACTGCAGCCATTCACTCACTCATAAACCAAGGTTGTGAGTTCAATACTAGCCAGGGCTCAGGCTTAACTCAGGCCTGCATCCTTCCAAGGTCGCTAAAATGAGTACCCAACTGTTGGGGGGCAATGAGCTTACAGTTGTAAACTGCTTAGACCAGGGGTAGGCAACCTTTTTCAGCCAGGGGCCAGGTTGCTATCCCTCAGACAATTGGGGGGCCGAAGCACCATAAATAAATAAATAAAAATAAAGAAATATGCATGCACACTCTCTCAGCCCCAGAAAAGCCATGGCAAAACCCCTATGGAGATTTTGCCAAGAAAACCCCAAGAACAAGTAATAACAACAATGATCAATATGTTCATGGCGGGTGGCGGCAGCGGCAGGACCGGCCTGGGGCCGGTCCAAAGGCCTTGGGGGGGCCGCATCCGGCCCCCGGGTCTTAGGTTGCCTACCCCTGGCTTAGACATTCCATAGTGTGATATGAAGCGGTATATAAATGAAGCTGCTAAACGAAGCTGCTTTCTTCTCCAGGTGAGAGACCCCAATGTCCCCAAGATATACCCCAATGTCCAATCCATAGACCCTAGATAGACCCCAATGTCCAATCCATAGACCCTAGATAGACCCCAATGTCCAATTCATGGGTTGGGATCCAGCTCCCTCCAAATGTCTTTGCCTACAAGCAAGCAAAGCCATTGTGCAAGGAGGTATAGGTTTCTCCTTGTGCAACACCTGCATAAGCCATGTCCAGGTTTCTGGCTGGAAAAGGCTAGGTTTAAAGGGATTGTCACTTTCTAATCTGGTATATATCATCCTTCCTTCCCTCCCAGCATCCTTCTTGGCTTCATCTCCTGCTATATTTCCCTTCTCCTGGGCTGCATCTGCACTGCGTAAATGATGCAGTTTGACATTGCATTAACTACCATGGTTCAGTGCTGTGGAATCTGGGATTTGCAGTTTGGTGAGACATTTCACCTTGTCTCTCAGAGAATTCTGGTGCCACAACAAGCCACAAATCCCAGGATTCCATAGCAATGTCAAACACCGTTATTTCTTCAGCACAAGTAACCTGGCCCCAGCTAAGTAAAGCAGGAAGGAAAAATTAGGATGCAGGTGATTTTCCTTTTTCCTTGGCAACCATAACGCAGCTCCTTGAAACTTCAGATTTTTCTGCCACAGCTTTACTTTGTCCATTGTTATTGTTGTTGTGTCTTTTCATGTTGTTTCTGACTTATGGTGACCCTAAAGTTTTCTTGGCAAGGTTTGTCCAGAGAGAGGCCTCTGCCTTCTTCTGTCATCATGAGAGTATGGCTTGACCAAGATCAGTGGGTTTCCATTGCTGAGCCGGGATTCGAACCCTGCTCTCCAGAGTTGTAGTCCAATGTGCAAACCACTACACCATGGTGGAAAACCTGGCAGGAAAAATTGTAGACTTCAGATGTCAAGCTTGCATTATACATATCATAGCAAATCCCTTGTGAGCAAAACCAGAAATGCTTAGAAGATCATTTCCACTTTTACAAACAAAATAAGAAGGTGCTAAACACCTGTACACAGGGCACACCTTCTTTTAGAGCAGTGGTTCCCAAGCATTGGTCCTCCAGATGTTTTGGACTTCAGCTCCCAGCATTCCTGAGTGTTGGTCAAGCTGGCTGAGACTGCTGGGAGTTGAAGTCCAAAATACTTGGAGGACCAAAGTTTGGGGATCCCTGTTTGAGAGGACTGCTGCTGAAGAGTTGGGATCCATGGACCAGTGCTTTTGGCTACCAATCTACAGGGAATTTAAGAAATAAACAGTTGTAATTGTTGGTCATAAATATGGTGCCAGTTACTTGCAGACGCTTTCCTTTCCAGCCCTCCATATCAGATAGCCCAGGAAATGCTGCAAGTAAAATCTTGTCCTCAGTCTTTTGGAAGCAAATATTAACTATATTCCCCAAAACAACAGGAAGGTTGCATATCTTCCAACTGCCCTGATTTGGCTGGGGCAGTCCTGATTAATCCTCTGTCATCCCACTTTTTCACCTGTTTTTCAAATGCCCCAGATTCTCTTCCATTTCCCCCCTTGTTCTCAGCTTAACTTCAGTTGCTGCAAACTGATTTCAGAGTTTAAAAAAAGTAGTTTTCAGCAGCAAGGAGAGAAGGGGAGAGGTTGTTTTTTTCCTTTCCCTGTAGACACAGGCAAAAGCAAACTGCTGCAACCTCTTCTATCTTGTGTGTTCTTCCTCATCTGATGCTTCTGGACCACATCTGTCCCAGTTTTCATCTGTGAAATGTTGGAAAGCATTGGAGTGTCTGGCCCCCAAATGGTTCTGAGGGGACGATGGGTGTGATTGCCAGCTGTGTCTTAGGCCTAGACATGTTGTAGAACAGTTTTTCCTGCCTCCGTAATTTTTCAAGACATTCCGAAAAATGTCTACTTTTGTTTAAACAATAGGCTGAAGGACTTGTTTGAGACGATGTGACTGACCTTTTGTTGTTTGTGGTATTCATTTGGGAGAACAGGGAAGCGGATTTGTTTTCATCCTGCATCCCAGTCACATTTTTAGCCAGTGCCGAATTTGGCCTTGTATTGATTGTTTGCATTGCTCTGTTGTGCATTCAAGTGGAATGTTTTATATCTAGCAAAATTGCCTTTCAGGTTGGTTTTTTCCCCAAAGAACGGGATAAACTGCTAGATATTTTAATGTGGAATTAATCCACATATATTAATTTTTCCCTTCAGCATCTCCAAATGAAAATACAGCAGGGTTGGCTTGTAACTTTTTGATTCACATAGGTTAAAGGGGAAAATCTGAATAATTATTAAAATGGTTCAATATTCCATGGTTATGGCACTATAAATGGTTGTATTTAGGGAGTTCTTGGGTGAATCTACACAGTGGAAATACAGTCAGCCCTCTGTATCCATGGATTCTTTCTCCATGGATTCAAGCATCCACAGCTTGAAAATATTCAAAAATATATAAATTCCAAAAAGCAAACCTTGATTTCCCCATTTTATATAAGGGATACCATTTTACTCTGCCATTGTATTGAATGGGACAAGCATCCACAGATTTTGGTATCCATGGAGGATCCTGAAACCAAACCTCAGCAGATACCAAGGGCCCACTGTAATGCAGTTTGACACCACTTCAACTACCTTAGCTTCATCCTACAGAATCCTGGGATTTGTAGTGTTGTGAGGCACCTGCACTCTTTGGCAGAGAAGGCTAAAAACCTCATAGAACTACACATCCCAGGATTCTATAGGATGGACCTACGGTTGCCCAACCCCTTGTAAAACATATGCAAAATATCTAAAGGGGGTTCCCAAGCAGTAGGGATGGGGGGGAAATATTTGAAAAATTGTTGAAAAACATGCTTTTATTTTATTTTATTTTATTTCTGTGTTGAAAAACCCTGATGGGAAGAATCCTGGCCTGATGGGACTATTCGCCGTTTGGGATTAATTCTGTGCAAAATTCACACATGGTTGTTTTGTGCAGAAAATAGCATTTTCTTCCCAGCATTTCCTGTGAGGAAAATAACGTTTCAGTGAGGACCTATTAATTCAGGCAAGGAAAATGCTGCAATTGGGGATTTATTCTGGAGAAAACATGTGCCATCCATTCTTGGCCTAAATCTCGGCTGGAGCAGATCCATCAACTCAACGGCTGAAAGTCAACATCTCTGTAAGTCCCACTGGCCACTGGGCCTACTTTAGTCAAAACTCAATGGGCAGTTTTGTCTAGAATAGGCCCAGTGGCCAGTGGGAGTTACAGAGATGTTGACTTTCAGCCGTTGAGTTGATGGATCTGCTCCAGCTGAGATTGGCGATTGGATTTAAATCATAGACTGTATCTGCACTGCAAAAACAATGCAGCTTGACTCTGCTTTAACCATCATGGCTCCATCCTATGGAATCCTGGAATTCATAGCTTGTTGTGACCCCAGGGCTCTTGGACAAGGAAAAATAAATATCTCACAAAACTACAAATCCCAGAATTCTACAACACTGAACCATGCCAGTAAAAGTGCTGTCAAACTGAATTATTTCTGCAGTGCGGATGTAGCCGTAGATCAGGGTGGGAATTTTGTGGAGCTCCACATATTCTTAGACTTCAGCTCCCAGCATTTCCAGCAAGATCAAGAGGGTTACGTGAGTCTTACTGTGTCATGATTCACAAGCCCTTGCACAACAACTGTGCACCATACACAACTATGGAAGGCATTCTCAGGATGTGGCTGAATTCCATTTTCTAACATTTTTCAAAAAAGTGCTGATGCTGCCCTACTGATGATAAGCAGAAACCGATTTCCATATGTCAAAAAGAGAAATTCTGGATCATGGAGGTTGCTGGTTTTGGAGGAATAAAAACACTGCATGCTGGCACTCAGTGGAGCAAAATTTGATCTAGGTCTCTAAGGCCCTGGAATTGTCCAGCCAAGTCATTTAGCACTTCCTAGTCAAGGATACCCTAGACAGTTCCACAGGCCAGCATTAATATTTAATACCATATTTCAAAAGCACTGCAAAAGCCAGCCTTGTACATCCTCTATTTTTAATGGATTGCTTCATTTAGCCCATCCGAAATATATATCTATATATCTCCACAAAACTGACAAAACTAAATGTTAAATTATTCAGTAAGGATACATATACACCTTAACAGCTGTGAAAAATCTTCCACTCCAAAGAAGATTCAGATCTTCCTCCTCTCCTTTGTCGGCTTCTCCTTCCTTTCTTCCCTCTCCTCCTTATCTTCTTCCTCTTCCTTCTCCCTCCTCTTTCCCTTCTTCCTCTTCCTCTTCTTCCACCTTCTTCACCACTTCCTTTTCCTCTTCCATCTACTTCACACCTGCTACTGGTACTACTTCTGCCTCTTCCTCTCCTCCTTCCTCCTCCTTCTCTTCCTCTGGTGGTAATGGAGGAGAAGGAAGAGGAAGAAGATGATCAGGAAGGGAAAGAAAGGGTGCTCCTCTTCTTCATCCTGGAGAAATGACCATCGGGGGTTCTGTCCTGGGTCCAGTGCTCTTCAACATTTTTATCAATGGATTGGATGAAAGAATAGGGGGCATGCTTCTCAAATTTGCAGATGACACCAAATTAGGAGGAATAGCTAATACCCCAGAGGAAAGGTTCAAAATTCAAAATGACCTTAATAGATTAGAAAGCTGGGCCAAAGCTAATAAAATGAATTTCAACACAGAGAAGTGTTAGTTACTGCACTTAGGGCAAAAAATTGAAATGCATAAATTTAAGATGGGGGAAACCTGGCTTAAGGAGACTATGTGTGAAAGGGATCTAGG